CTGGTGCGAAAATGTGTAGTTGGACATTACGTGCCCCCAGCAGCTGTGTTTTTTGAGCGTGGATGCATGTAAAATATTTTGGAGACAGCTAGTTCACCCAGTCGTGTGGCTCGTGGGCAAGTTCCAAATCAGCATTCCATCACCAAATCTACATAAATAACTCAAGACTGGTTGAGCTTTCTAAAAGTTTATTAATGGGGGCATTTTGTGAGAAGTTAGTACTTCCTTTTTACCTGCCTATAGTGTAAAGCCCATTTCCGAAGCACCTCACTCCAGAATCCAATAAGCCCACTTAATTGGCTTTCCTGCAGTTCAACCAGTGTCTGTTGCTGAGCTGTAATGCTGCTGGGACTGTTGAAGATGGTAGCCTACCATGTTAGCCTACAGCTGGAGGAAGTCCAACTCTCTAGCACTTCAGTCTATCCTCACTATATTATGGCTGCAGGGTGGGCTTCTTTCTTGCCTGTCAAATCATGGTTGACTTTCCTTCCAGAGGAGTGAGCAGTCTACCAACCACCACTCCCCCGCCCCCACACCCCGCAACCCGTAATTCACTGCCCACGATGTTTGTTTCAATCTGTGTTGCAATCAACATCTTCATGATCTTTATTTCTAATGTTTTCTGTACGAAATCTCTTACATTTAATATCCAATTTCCAACATTCCAAAAACTATCATTGAATGGGTGTAGGCGATGGCCTAGGGGTATTATTGCTTGACTATTAATCCAGAAACTCAGCTAATGTTCTGGGGAAAGCAGCATCATAGGAGCAAAAAGGCTGACGTTTCGGGCCTAGACCCTTCATCAGAAAATTTTCTGATGAAGGGTCTAGGCCCGAAACGTCAGCCTTATTGCTCCTATGATGCTGCTTGGCCTGCTGTGTTCATCCAGCTCTGCACCTGTTGTCTCGGATTCTCCAGCATCTGCAGTTCCTACTATCTCTAATGTTCTGGGAACCTTGGTTTGAATCCTGCCATGACAGATGGTGGAATTTGAATTCAATTTAAAAAAGAAATCTGGAATTAAGAATCTACTAATGACCATGAAATCATTGTCGATTGTTGGAAAAATCAGTCTGGTTCACTAATGTCCTTCAGGAAATCTGCCATCCTCAACTGGTCTGGCTTACATGTGAATCCAGACCCACACCAATATGGTTGACTCTCAATTGTCCTCTGAAATGGCCTAGCAAGCTGTTCAGTTGTACCAATCGGTACAAGTTCTCAAAAGAAGTAGAAGTGGACGGATTACCTGGCATCAACCTATGCACCGGAAACATCAGAAACCGTCCTGTCAACCCTACAGGGTCCTCCTCTCTAACATCTGGGGGCTAGTACCAAAACTGGGAGAGCTGTCTCACAGACTAGTCAAGCAACAGCCTGACAGAGTCATACTCACCGAGCCGTACCTTACAGAAGATGTCCTAGACACCACCATCACCATCCGTGGATATGTCCTGTCCCATCAGCAGAACAGACCCAGCAGAGGGGGCGGCACAGTGGCATACAGTTGGGAGGGTGTTGCTCTGGCAGTCCTCAACATTGATTCTGGACCCCATGAAGTCTCATGGCTTCAGGTTAAAAATGGGCAAGGAAACTTCCTGCTGATTACTACATACTGTCCTCCCTCAGCTGATGAATTGGTATTCTTCCAGTTGAAAAACACTGAGAGAAAATGCTGAGGAAGGGAAAAAAATGTTCTCTCGGTGGGGGATTTCAATGTCCACCACCAAGATTGGCTCAGCAGCAGTACTACAGATCGAGCTGGTCGAGTCCTAAAGGACATAACTGCTAGACTGGGTCTGTGGCACGTAGTGAGGGAACCAACAAGGGGGATAAAACATACTTGACCTTATCCTTACCAATCTGCCAGGTGCAGATGCATCTGTCCATGACTGTATCGGTAAGAGTGACCATTGCACAGTCCTTGTGGAGATGAAGTCCTGCCTTCACGTTGAGAATAATCTCCATCATGTTGTGTGGCACATTCACCATGCTAACTGGGGCAGACTTTGAAGAAATCTAGCAAATTAAGACAGGGTATCCATGAGGTGCTGTGGGCCATCAACAGCAACTGAATTGTCCTCCAGCATGATCTGTAACTTCACGGCCCAGCATATCCCCCACTCAACCATTACCATCAAGCCAGGGGATCAACCATGGTTCAATGGAGAGTGCAGGAGGATATGCCAGGAGCAGCACCAGGCATAGCTGAAGATGAGGTGTCAACCTGGTGAAGCCTCCAAACAGGACTAAATGCATGCCAAACAGCAAAAGCAGCAAGTGACAGACTGAGCTAAGTGATCCCACAACCAGATCTAAGCTCTCCAGCCCTGCCACATCTAGTCGTGAATGGTGGTGGATGATTAAACAGCTCACTGGAGGAGGTGGCTCCACAAATAACCCCATCCTCTATGATGGACGAGCCCAGCACATCAATGAAACAGATAAGACTGAAGCATTCGCAGCAATCTTCAGCCGGAAGTGCTGATCCATCTCGGTCTCTTCCAATGGTTCCCAGCATTACAGATTCCAGTTTTCACCCCATTTGATTCACTCCACGTGTTATCCAGAAACGTTTGAAGACACTGGATTCTGCAAAGGCTACCAGCTCTGACAACATTCCGGCAATATTACTGAAGACTTGTGTTCCAGAACTTGCTACTCCCCTAGCCAAGCTGTTCCAGTACAGTTACAACACTGGTATCTACCCAACAAGGTGGCAAATTGCCCAAGTACGTCCTGTACACAAAAAGCAGGACAAATCCAATCTGACCAATTACCACCCCATCAGTCTACTCTCGATCATCAATAAAGTGATGGAAGCTGTCATCAACAGTGCTATCAAGCAGCATCTGCTCAGAAATAACCTGCTCAGTGATGCCCAGTTTGGGTTCTGCCAGGGCTACTCAGCTCCTGACCTCATTACAGCCTTGGGGTTCAAACATGGACAAAAGAGCAGAGTTCCAGAGGTGAGGTGAGAGTGACAGCCCTTGACATCAAGGCTGCATTCAACCGAGTGTGGCATCAAGGAGCCCTAGCAAAACTGGAATCAATGGATATTGAGGCAAACTTTCTTGTGGTTGGAGTCATACCTGACACATAGGAAGATGGTCATGGTTGCTGGAGGTTGGTCATCCCAGCTCCAGGACATCTCTGCAGTTCCTCAGGGTAGTGTCCTATGTCCAACCATCTTCAGCTATTTCATCAATGACCTTCCCTCCATCATAAGGTCAGAAGTGGGGATGTTTGCCAATGATTACACAATGTTCAGCACCACTCGTGACTTCTCAAATACTAAAGTAGTCCGTGTTAAAATGCAACAAGATCTGGACAATATCCAGGCTTGGGCTGACAAGTGGCAAGTAACATTCACGCCACATAAATGCTAGACTATGTTCCTCACCAATAAGAGACAATCTAACCACCGCCCCTTGACATTCAATGGTGTTAACATCACTGAATCCCCCACTATCAACATCCTGGAAGTTATCATTGACCAGAAACTCAACTGGACTCACCACATAAACACAGTGGCTACAAGAGCAGGTCAGAAGCTAGGAATACTGCAGCAAGTGACTCACCTTCTGACTCCCCTAAGCCTGTCCACCATCTACAAGGCACAAGTCGGGAATGTGATTGAATACTCCCCACTTTCTCAGATGAGTTCAACCCCAGCAACACTCAAGAAGCTTGATACCATTTAGGACAAAGCAGCCTGCTTGATTGGTAGTACATTCACAAGCATCCACTCCCTCCACCACCGACTCTCAGTAGCAGCAGTGTGTACTATCTGCAAGATGCGCTGCAGAAATTCACCAAAGATCCTCAGACAGCATCTTCCAAACCCACGACGATTTCCATCTAGAAGCACCAGGGCAGCAGATAGATAGGAACACCACAGCTTCAAGTTCCTCTCCAAGTCCCTCACGATCCTGACTTGGAAATATATCGCTGTTCCTTCACTGTCCCTGGGTCAAAATCCTGGAATTCGCTCCCTAATGGCATTGTAGGTCAACCCACAGCAAGTGGAATGCAGCAGTTCAAGAAGGCAGGTCACCACCACCTTCTCAAGGGCAACTAGGGATGGGCAATAAGTGCTGGCCAGCCAGCGATGCCCCCCACGTTCTACAAATGAATAAAGAAAGGGTGATAATTAGCCAAAATGGGACACCAGCAGAAGTGACTGAGGTCAGGACACTGGATCTGTTTTAAAAAATAAGTAAATGTTATAATTAGGAAGTAGTCAGTTTTAAGTTATGGAAGGATGAGGTCAGATGATTGAAGGGCATTATGCATTCAAACATGTCTTTGGATCTCGTTAAGGGCTGCGTGTCTTAGGCAACATCTCTTCCTGAACCAACCTCACAATGTTATATCTGTTTCTGTCTCCACAGATGTGGCCAGACCTGCTGAGTTTATCCAGCACTTTGTTTTTATTTCAGATCTCCAGCATCTACAGTACTTTTATTGTAGAACACTGATTATTGACAATTCATTAAAATTCTGACCTTGTAATCAATGTGCAAAATTGGTGTCATTTGCAAATCACATGGCCATAGTTACATTATTTCAAAGTAGGTATTATGAGTGTTCATTTTGGGACATACAATCAAATGATAAATGCAAGCTTATAGTATGTATCTCCCATCATTAATTCTTCATTTTTCACAAGATTTCTCATTCCAGTTTAAATAAGATATGACATAATGACTTGAGCTAATATTATGTCTGGTCTTGCAACATCAAACAAGCTGCTCCCCAGAGTTGATTTCTGTACTTAAAACAATGTAAGGAAAAGGACACATGATTGATTAATCTTCATCACGAATGCAACACATAAAGAATGAAAACAATACCACTGAATAATGCTATTGTCTCAATTTAAAATTACAATCAAGATGATTCTCATGTCATAGTGCCCTGTGATGATGGAATGCTTCTTTAAAGAGCAGAGGAAGAGAAACATTTGCTTTCTAATTTGATTCTCAATATTACAGCAATTATTCAACTGCCAAGCTCTCCGTAAACTAAGTGTTCCAGACAATGATCTTTCTAATCTGCCCACCACCATTGCCAGCCTGGTGAACCTAAGAGAACTAGACATCAGCAAAAATGGTAAGCATAAAACATGCCTGCTTTTATTTTTTACATTGAATTGACATGGCTTTTAGTTTTCCACTTATTTAATTGCAGTTATTTCCTGTTTTGAGATGTAGATCACTTTTTTCTTCAAATTTTCATCTGCTGATAGTCCTCTTTTATTTTACCAAAAGGACCAATCTTAATGTCAAAATATAAGCAATGAAGTATCTCAAGTGCTCAACTATAGAAACATTCAGAATTGAACCAATCCTATTCTGATCTGAGATCCAAATCCATCATTGTATCTTCAGAACTGTTATAAAAAGTAAATGAGGCCAATACATCTATTTGCAGTAGCCCTCCAGCTGGCCTCATTAGACATGTGCATCATGTACAGCATTAGGATTGTGCCATAATTAGAGTATTATCAATTTTAAGATTCCTGTTTAGTAGAATGGGAACAGTCTGTCTATCTGTCTCTGTTGTAATTTGTTCGTTGTGCCTTTTTCTATTTATTACGTTCATCCAATTTCTTATTTCTGAACTTTTACTTCTTGCGCTTAAGGCATTGAGTTCCTTTTTTGGGGCTCCTTAAGTGCTTTACCTCAGTTGACATTCTTTAAGTATGAGAATATCTACAATTGTCAACACAACCTATTTAATGCCAAGAGGTATTAAGACTGTGTCCAATTCTAAAACCAATAGACACTGGCAGTGGTGTATTGTTTGTGCTAAATTAGATTATTTTTAGGATTAAAAATTTGTTCAAATGCTTCTGTGTTGCTTTTGTAGATAAATACACACTTCAATGAATGGAACATCAAACCACAAGATGAGGAAGGATTCAACTTTAGTCTGTGCATTCAACCAGGGCTGTAATGGGGATAAAATTGGTCATGGCAACCCTTCATTTGAAAGGGAAAAATCAACCTTACTGGTCATGAGCAAAATGTCGTGATGCAGTGTTGGATAGTCTGCGTGGGGAGGTATTGGGTAGAGATATGATCGGGTTTGGCTGCCAATGGTGAATACTCAGTGATCCAAAACAAAGAATAACCACTCAAAAGATGCTAATATTTGCAGAGTTTCTACTTTTACCAGTTAAGGTTATATTTAGCAAAAACAGAAATTGCTGGGAAAATCCTGCAGGTCTGGCAGCATCTGTGGAGAAAAAGCAGAGTTAACGTTTCAGGTCCAGTGACCCTCCTTCAGAATAGTTCTGAACCTGTTCTGAAGAAGGGTCATTGGACCTGAAATATTAACTGCTTTCTCTACACAGATGCTGCCAAACCTGCAGGATTTTCCCAGCAATTTCTATCCTTCCGATTTCCAGGATCTGCATCTCTTTGATTTTCTTGTTTAAGGTTATATTTAACCTCCACATATGTGGTTTATTAAATCAAAACAATTTATTTATTCTACGTTATAATAAGAAAGTGCCATTTTTATCTTTGGCTCAGAATCTGTTGAAGACCCATTATGATTTCCATTAAGAGCACAGCATTTTGGTCATTTGAATAATGTACATCAGCACACCACTGTCACTGAGCATGAGGATTCTATTCAACTCTGGAAGTGAAACCTATTTTCAAGAAGACTGGACTAGACAGTTATCATCTAGACAGTTTCAATATTGCATTATTGTAAACACTTTTGAATACCCAGATCAGCACCAAGTGCTTGCAAAAATGCCAGTCCTCATTAATGCCTGTGAATTGCAAAGTGACATGTTGGAGGCCTTTCAAACTGTAATTTATCCTCAAGGATATAATAATAAGCAAACATTAGTTCTGCTAAATTAAATGGAAGCAGCATCTTTAAAGTGACTCCACCTCGAAAAGTAATTTCACACCCCAATGGATCGGCGAATTAGCGTATCACATTATTTTGACCCTGAATTATACAGAATACAAGGTCTTAGGTTTGATCCCTGGTCTGTACTAAGTTTAACTGGTTAGCTGTGGCACAGTAAGGGAATCTAATGTTAACTGCCGTGTTCTCAGGGAAAGTTGGGGAGAAATTCAATTTGAGTTACTGCTGCTGATCACTAACCTTCAGCCTATGCTAGAACCTGTGTCTGCATCAGATGAACAGAATTGTATTGAGTTGTGTTGACATACTTGCCAATGCTACTAAGTAGGTCCAGACATGAAAAGAATTGCACATCATTAAGCTACTGAAAGCTGCCAGGGGAGAAGGGATGATAAGAAGTAACATAGAAAATGTTGCCTTGAGGCCTTCTAAGTTATCCCTAATGGAAGGACTAAAAGTACGAATAAATCTATGTTTTGTGTTTGGGGGAAAAAAATTGAAAAAAAAACAAAATTAAGTTGAAACACAATTATACCTATCTTTAAATTAATATTGTTTTTCAGATTCTGATATTTTTTCTGTTTGTTTTTGCAGGTATTCAAGATTTCCCAGAAAATATTAAGTGCTGTAAATACTTATCTGTTATTGAAGCCAGTGTTAATCCCATTTCCAAGTGAGTTAGTAAAGAATCAGTTCCTTGTGTGATGTTATTTTGTCAGTGCTCGGAACCTTTGTCTTCATGTCTCCACCTTACAGAGGTTTCTACAAAAAATTGTACTGATGTGAGGCTGTGGAAAATTCAAGAATAGCTTTTAGAATTTTAAATGAAAATGATGAGGTATTTATCTTTAAATACTATGTACACTATCTTAATGTCCAATAAAACAGCAGACCTGTTCAATAGTACTTTAAAGACAACATATTAACCTGGATAGGAAATTGACTGAACAACAGGTAACAGATGCTACAGATAATAGACAGGTACTCTAATTGACAGGCTATGATTAATGGGGACTCATTGGAATCTGTGTTGGAGACTCAGATAATCGCTGCATTTATTAATGACAAACAAATGATGTGATATAGAGTTATTATCCAAGTTTGGCAATGGCACAAGGATGGATGGTGTTGTAAGCAGTGTAGATGGAAGCACAAAATTGCAATCTGATTAATCAGTTAAATGAAAAATTGACAAAAAGAAGTCAATGTAGGCTAATATGAGCCAATTTACTTTGAAAAGTTTTGACTAATCTATTTTAAATCAGTCTTATCCAACCTTTTCAAATGGGGGTTTTAAATAATCTCAAAGCAACAAATTGATTGTTTAAATAGAATAATTACTTAAATCTACAATTTAAAAGTGCAAAGCAGAGCTATCTAATGAAACCTTATTTTGCCTTTTCAGTGAAGGAGCTAGAGGAGACAGACTAGGCTTTAAGAACACTGACTTGTTTTTACCTCTGGGTAGCAAACATTCCAAGATGCCCTCAGCAGAGTTCAGGATCAGAAGCAGGAAGCCTTTCAATCTGGGTTTCTCTCCTATTCTGCTTCCTGGATAGGTTAGTGCAGCAAGGAGCAGCAGGAAGATGGAAAAGGCGGGGTGTGTCTAGCACATTCAATTTCAGTGTTCACACATACTCTTGCTTTCACTCTCACACTCTTCCCCCACACATGCACACACCCACACCCACTCCCTCCGCTCATTCTTTCCTTGCTGTTACAGGCATACCCCAACACACTCATTCCATTACCACAGACATATTCACAACCCCCCACTCACTTACTGCCCCCTCCCACAAACACATCTACCCCTTACTCCCTCTCTTGCCACACACAAAATGCTTCACATAGATGCAAACTCTCTCTTACACACTTTGTCTCTCCCATTGCTTCACTATTGCCCCATTCTCTCTATCTCTCTTCCCCCTCTCCCTCATTCTGTGTGGGATCTTATAGAGGTCTGAGCAATGTGGGCCACAGCACGATTTATGGCAGAATTACTAAGAAGTCTGGAGAAGCTGATCTCAACATTGGAAGCAACTCGCTAAATCTTTTATGTATTTACCAAGCACCACGGCAAGTTTCTGTTTAGAGAGCAGTGTGTTACCACTGAAGGATTATTGCTTGTTAAATGCCTAGTTACCAGCATACCTCGCGTTATTTGTATTCAGTTTCCTATCTTACCAAATAAGCTAGGCATTAAAAAAAGCATTAAAATAAAAAAAATCAGAGCAGATGCCTGGCGAATTCAAATTACCTCTTGCTCCAAATGACCTGCTTGTTGGAAACCAGGAATCCAACGTCTCTCAGGGCATGTTTCATGGACATCAGCCATGATTGTCATTGTTGTCAGCAGACCTCAATCAAGTCAAGGGGGTCGCTAACCAAAGGAGGCCCGCTAAGTAAGTCTAGGGTGCAGTACCAGCTCAGGGGCTTGGACACAGTCAGTAATCTTTTTCAAATGGCGGGTGAAGAGCTGAATGTCAGACAGCCAACCTCCCACTTGAGTCTTTCTGATGGATTGAGGGCTGCTTTATTTCAGAGAGGGGCAGGTATTAAAGGAGGTGCAAGTAGCTGGCACAGCTGTTACTATTGATACATATGGGGTGATGTCCCAAGGGAGTGAGTGAAACACATGCAGATTTAGTGGTGTTGGGGGTTGGGATGGGTGACAGTGAGTGGGGGAAGATGTTGCAGGTAATAATGAGAGAGGTAGAGCATAAATCTTGATGGTGTAGTGGGGGTGGTAGCAGAACTATCAGAGAGAATTACGGAGTGGAGAAGATCATTGACCTCATTTCCACAGTGCTGGCCATTCCTCTAGATGACTGACCCAGGTAACAACCTCGGACCAGGCTGGCATGGTCGAGTGACATGTCCATTGGCCTCCACTACTGGTCATTGGGGTAAATGTCATTCCTTATCTGCACCACCATATCCAGCAGGACTTCCAGGTCCCTGCTTGCACGGTGGAGTGCTGATTTCCCCCCGTCAGCCATGGTTGGGCTAAATGTCAGGAACTGTGCAGGACTGCTCTGGACTGACAGTGCTTCACTGGGTGCACAGTGGGCTTTACCAGTTGATGCAAGAGATGCTGGGGAATTTCGGGATAAATGCAGAGTGTCAAGTTGCTCTTGGACTGACATGTTGGAAGATGTTACTCGTGACCAAATGCAGCCATATCATGGGCCTGAAGTAGGTAGTTAGTAAGGCTAGTTTTGCTATGGTATGGCTAGAAAACCCATTAGGCCTTGTGGCAAGAATCTCGATGCAACACTGACTTAATGTTTTATGGCTCTCTCTCCTCACTTCCTTCCATCTCTTCCTGTTCCTCCCTGACTCCCCCATTTCCCTCACTCACTTCCCCCTCCTCATTGCTCACTCACCAGCCTCTCGCTCACTGTAGCCTCTATATTTCACTCCCCTCACTTGCATCCCTTTTCACTTATTCCTCCCCACTACTTCACTCACTCCTCTTTCATTCACTCCATTGGATCAGGAACCGTCTTGACTACAGCTCTTCAGGACCTGGTGCCTGTGTGGAAAAGAGTGAGTCTTGTCTTCTCTCTGGCCCATTGCTCAATTCAGATTTTTTTCCCAAACCCATTCAATAGCTTGACCCCTGAGCCATTCGGCGACTAGAGCATAAATCGACGCACTGATTCTGTTGCCAACCTACCTGCTGGTTCTCAGCCGTGTCCCTTCACCCACTGCCTGGCATCTTGTAATATGCAATTTCCCAAAATGACTGCAGGCTAACACCATTTCTATTGTCCAGGCCTCAGCCAGACTGGGGTTAAGAGCATTCACACAACTCACTGGCTTTGATTGAATGAACAATCAGTAGCATTGGAGAGAAATGCCCTCTGATTAATGGAACAGCTCTTTGCAAAATCTTTCTGAATTTGAAACACATTGCAGGCCAGAGATGATCCTTTGGTAGGTCATATGCTGGACCGTGGGTCGCCTGTTGGATGTCATTTGATGGAATGCTAAAAACAGTTGATATCTAAAGATACTTAAGGATTCATACACAAAGATCATTAAAGTCTAATGTTAAGGTAGACCAAGAAAATAATCAAAAAGATTAATGGAATTCTGGCCTTTATTTGTGGGTGACTAAAAGAGGATACAGAGGCTATGGCTGTAGCTGTATAAAACCTTGATTAGATCCCATCTGATATATAATATTAATTTTGTGCCTTACACCTTAGGAAAGATGTATTATTATTAGATGAGGTGTAGTATATAGTTATCAGAATGATACCTGTCTTTTTAACATATAGTTAGGAATTTTCCCAGTGTTGTAATGCCCCTTCCATCTCAGCAATCCAGGCAAGCAGAATTTTCATCTTGTGGATGGAACAACATCCAGGAGGGAGGTCTGTCACTAAGCTGGAGGCAGGGCAATACTAAGGCAGCAAGGCTAAACAACCCAACTCCAATCACAGAAATTTCAGAGCAATGTGAAGCCCCACTCAGCCCTGTTACCTCCCCGATACTTCTCTAACGCAACTTCTTTCACTTCACCCATATGCCCTACTTGTCAGATTCCTTCACACTATGCCTCCTACTTCTCCCATTCCCTCACCTTCTTCTGTACACCTCCTTCAGTCAAAACTTGCAAGCGCTATAACTTTGGAATGCTTTGAATAGCTCATAACTCTGAAATGCTAAACAAGCGTTGCTTCAACAACTGTTAGAGAAGAGGTTATCCTCTTTGCGAAGCTATTAAACTCACATTCTGTTGGAGAACTGAAGAATTCATTAGGCAACCAAAAAACTCACATGTCTGTCATATCTTTTAAATGGCCAACAGGTGGCTGAACTGTTCAGTAAAGAATGAGTCACAACCAGGGGAGAATTTAAACAATTACCTATTGATCTCAATTGAAGTTTTTTTTAATATTGTAAAATGGCACTTTAATGCAGAACAGTACTTCATCTAGTGGATAATTTCTTTTCTTCTCCATTTTTACAATACTGTTTCCTCAGTTGACAGATTGCATGTTGTCAGACATAACAACTGGCAAACAGACTGTGGAATGATCACTTGGCTTTTCCAAAGATGGCACTGTCATCACTCATGCTGGTAGACACATATGTCTCAGGATACAGCAGTTCATGATGAACTATCAAGGAGGCAATACTATTTCTACTAACTTTGTGGTCCAGTCTCACCTCCAATCCATGGTTCACACTTCCACACTTTAAGTGTGATTCAAGAAGACTCCCCACATGCAACCATCTCCCTAAAAATAATCAGGAGTTCTGAAATGCTCACTTCCAGAATGGCATTTGCAACTTTGAAAAGCAGTGTCAAATACCCATCCCTCCCCTTTCCTGCTTTAATGAAAGAAGCCAGAGACAAATGGAGGTGTGACTACGACTTCGATAATCAGTGGCCATTATTTTTTCCAATTCCTAACTCCATGCAGTCCCCAACAGGACCATACATTTAGGCCTTGGATTCCAAGTGTTAGGTTATTTTGAATGATAACTGAAACATGGGCAATATTCCTTGGAATTCAAAGGGTGAAGTGATGATTTAAATAAAGTCTCCAAGATACTAAGGTGTGTTGATAGGTCAGATGGAGAAAAGGTGTTTCACTGGTTAGCCAGTCATGGACTTGAGTACATATTGAGTCACATCTTTCAGGAGTGCAGTTAGGAAGCACTTCTGCATGTGGTACAGGTAGGTTTGTACTGGAGTGCTGAATTTGTTGCATAATAGTGTAACTTGGGTTTGGTGAAACAGGGAGTCTCAAGGGGTAAGTTTTAAGGAATAGTTTAATTTAATTTAAGGGCTAATTTCAATCTAAAGTCTAGTCTGTTCTGTAATTTAGGAATTGAAAGTTGCTGTTTTGATGCGTGCTCTGTAATTGCAGCTTTTAAACAGGAAGTTACAGGTACTGAGCTGAAGATAGTTAATTAGACAATGAGTTTCATCCAGTTTCGGAAGCCTTTGAATTGGGGCTATAACAAGAGACTTTGTTCAGTGCTGCCTTGTCTGCACAGGAATTCTGCTTTGTTATATTAGAATATAACTGCCATTTAGTGAAACAGGGAGTTAGGTGAAAGAGGGAAGATGTGATCAGTCCCCGCGTTTCTCTTGTTAGTGAGTATCTCTGCTCTTTAATGTCAAATTTAGGCATTAGGAGAAAAAAGAGCCAGTGGTGCAGGAGACTGAGACGATGAGGAAATAACGCTTGAGGCCTCCACACTTGTGTGGAAGCTTTGAGACTGTAAGTTCATTGGTTGGGAAGTGACTGCTAATTTGAATAACTATTCAAAGTTGCTTTCAGATTAAAGGCAAGTTGGAGAACTATTCTACAGATCAAAAAACTAAAGACCCATAAGAATATGACCCAAAATATGAATTAAACAATAAACAATTTAGAGTTGCAGGGCCAGGCAATGTTTTATACCTTCTTAATTTGGGAGCCGGTAGATCCTATTGTGGTTCATAGTGATCACACCTGGAGCAGGTGTTGGTTGCCTGAGGAACTCTGGTTCAGACCTGATGAGCTACAGTCTGAGCTTCAAACACTGTGATACATCAGGGAGGTTGCAAGAGTTGCCTGAATGCTGTGTTTCAGGAGGTGGTCACACCCTGTAGATTAAGTACTTCAAATTTGGTCAGGGACAGCAGAGGACTACAAGTGAGGTAGGTAGGTAGGATCCTGAATTTGGCATTAGTGGAGCCTCACTTCTTGACTTTGTCCAATAGGTATGAGTGGTTGAGGAAAAGGACTGTGGGATGTCACGGGTGTGGGTGGGAATGTGTGGGATGGGTAAACTGACCACTGCAGCACAGTACAAGAGGCCATTCAAGCAGTGGGAGCAAAAAGAGAAGTGGTAGGGGATTCTATAATTGGGGTTACAGATAGCATAGCATCCTTTGTAAGCAGGATTGAGAGTCCTGCATGGTGCCAAGGTAAGGGATATCCTGAACCACTTGCAAGGATATTGGAGTGGAAGGGGAGAATCAGTTGTTGTGTGACCAGCAACATGGGCATGTGGTACAGTTTGGGGAATATCAGGAATTAGGAACAAAATTAAAGAGCAGGACCTCAAAGGTTATAATCTCTGAATTGTTACCCGAACAACATGCATTGTCATAGAGGTAAGGAAATTGGGGAAATAACGCATGGCTAAAGGAGTGATTATGGAAAGAGGGGCTCCATTTCGTGGGGCATTGGGATCAGTATTGGGACTAGAAAGCACAAGCTCTACCTGTACCAATCTGGGACCACTGCCCTAGTGGAAAGGCTTAATAGGGTGGTCAGAAGAACTTTAGTAAGTGGAGGGGAGAACTCCAGTGGAATTGGCAGGGGTGCAGTGGGGAAGTCAACATGGTTTCAAAATCAAGTGATGTGACAGAGTAAACAAACAGTCCAGACTGCTAGTTCAGGTATGGCAGATAATGGCAAAACTACAAGAAGTGCAATGATTAAACTAGAAGAGGGGAAATAATAAACAAGTGAATAAAGCATCAGTGCTGAGGGACAGGTTTCATTGTATGGCTCAAATATGAGTTTATATAGGAATGCATGGAGCAAAAGGAATAAGTCTAAATAATTTGCAAGCACAAATTGAAACTGCAGATTATGATACAGTAGCCATTACTGATGGTCAGGATTGGGAACTAAATGTTCCAGATTATAAGGTTTACAGGATGGACGGGGAAAATGGTGGAGGAGATAGAGAAGCCTTGCTGATTAGAAACAAAATTATTTAACTGGTAAGGGAGGATATTATGAGGGGAAAGCATGAGGGGACCACGTGGATGGCACTGAGGAACAGTAAAGGATCTAAAACTGTAATAGGTGTTGTGAACTGACCCCCAAGTAGCAGCACTGAAGCGCTAGGTTATATAAGTACAGAAATTAAGCAAGTGTGTAGCATAGCCAAAGTAATATTAATGGGGAATTTTAACTTCTCCATACACTTGGGAGAACCAGGCAAGCACCTGTCAGAAAAGTAATGAATTTCTGGTGTGTCCAGGATAGTTTCCTACAACAATATATCCTGGACTCAATAAGGGGACAAGCAATTTTGGATTTAGTAATGAGTAA